ATAAGAACCTATGTACATATGAATATTTATACTAACAACTAAAGCATTAGATAAAACAATATACGTAATTGTAGTAAGATACTTGTTTCAACTGTTTCGTGCAAGGTTGTCCGGATCTTTCCGTGGCTCTGGGTTAAAGGGGGAAGAAGCGAACCGGTTTTATGGAAAATAAATAAAAATAGACGACCTCAACAGGATCAGCCGCGCTTTATGGTAGGTACCTCGTCCGATTGGTGGTAAACATACGTTTATATATAATGTATTGAGTAAAAAATGTGTTGTGATTAAAATACAGTTTATGTTTTTCAAGAACGAAGCATTGTTTTGTAGCTAACATGACATGTCCTTCTTCAAACGAGGCTTGTGGAGAGTATTAAGCGGTAGGCAGCGGCTTGGCTCGGCCCCTGGCATTGCTGAAGTCCATGGGCGACGGTAACCACTCCCCATCAGGTGGGCCGTATGCTCGTCTGCCTACAAAGGCAATAAAAAAAAGAAAAAGAAAAAAAAAATTTGCACTAATATTTACATTTGGTGAATAATAATACCAAGCTATATTTTTTCTTAAGACATTCTTATGACCATTTCAATTAATAAGCTAGTTAGAGAAGAAAGGTATCCAAGTTTTTGTTGTCTTTTCCATAATAATTAAATTATATGCGTTTAATAAATGATATAATAAAGCGGAATAAACGGCTTATTTTATTTAAACATGATTAACATATTTAATAATAAAGAAAACCAACTCAAACTATGCGTAAGCAAAATAGTTTTTAATTATAAAAGCATAAACTCGAATATGTAGGATTATTTTCAAATTTTAAATTGACTATTTAAACTGTTATTAGCTTCAATATATCATAAAAAAATTACCAAGAACTATTAACTGACGAAGGAATAATTAATTATAACATAGTAACAATTTTTTTGTAATATTTCCTTATAGGTTCAAACCTAACATACTTGTATTTGATATTGAAGAGTAAAGTTTATTAAGTTTTTTTATCGTGAATATTAACAAGTCACAAGTTACTTTGTTTTTGAGAATAATATGTTGCAGAGTATTGTATATTCCTCCGTCTACTGAGTGTGAGTAAATAACCTACAATGTCACCTCTCACCTTGAAATATGAGCTCTAAATCGAATCGTATAAAATCAGCTCCATACAGAAATAAGAAAATGTAAGTACAACAACGAATCTAGTCACGTACCTACAATATGCACTAAGCTTTATGAATATGACGTCACAGTGGAACCCGGTCGGGCTCCTCTGTGAAAATAATCGTATAAAAACATAGATTTCTTAAAACTCTAGAAATCTTTTCTAGAATTGAATTATTGATTTGATTCTAGAAACAACAACTTTATCAAAGCAAGAGCAAAGAGTGAAGGAAGATTAGAAATAACATTATTCAATATCAGACTTTTAATACAGTTGCAACCGCCTTTCACACTCTTATTATAATATGATAATAAGTTAAATATTTTTAAATATAACATTTTAATAAAAAAAAATATATGACTTAAAGACCTAACAGTATACCAATATACCTTAAAAATATAATACAATAACTAAAATATATTATTAAAAGGAGTCCCTTTAGGCAAGGCTCCGAAGATATTGGCAGCGTTCCCCCTTTGAATAGCTAGACTAATTCTTTGTCCGAGGTAGTTGCCAGGCCTTCGGTCTCCTGTGATGTCGACTAACCTTTTTGCTATTTCCTTAGTAGGACCTCACGAACCAAAGTGTCACGACACCAATGGGACAAAATTAAATTCGGAGCCTAGACCCCTGTATTTGCATGCAAAGTAATAAATAAATAAATAAGTTGTATTATATAATATTAGAAATGTATGTATGTTGTAATATAAAAACTGATACCGGAACTGATCGAAATCCGAACCCACTGAGAAGATCCGGCGAAGGTCGCCCGTATACCACAACATTATTTAAACATATTATATTATATACTACTTTTAAAATTCCTCTAACCATACACAATCGCGATCAACAAAACGAATCAACGTATTCTGTTTGAAAAGTAAGTTTGCAGAATTTTGTAACATTACACCTTACTCGGGTTTCCAAGTAGCCACACAAAGTTACCACCCAGTTGTTTTAATATGCACTGTGTGCGCTGTATTCATAATTAATTATACATACATATACGGCTTAGTTACAATATTTATACTGTACTAATATTTTTCGCTTATACCATTATCATAACTCGTGCACAAATTATCGCTTTTTAACGTGTCTCTAAATACTTTTAAATTCGAATTAGCGTGCGACACTACTGAGTATTTTATTTACAAACTAAAATAATCGGACCTTTTGCTGATCTGTCTATCTTTGATTTTTGAATATGATTCGATCGCGATCATACTGGTGGTAGGACCTCTTGTGAGTCCGCGCGGGTAGGTACCACCGCCCTGCCTATTTCTGCCGTGAAGCAGTAATGCGTTTCGGTTTGAAGGGTGGGGCAGCCGTTGTAACTATACTGAGATCTTAGAACTTATATCTCAAGGTGGGTGGTGCATTTACGTTGTAGATGTCCATGGGCTCCAGTAACCACTTAACACCAGGTGGGCTGTGAGCTCGTCAACCCATCTAAGCAATAAAAATAAATAAAAAAAAAACTTCCCCTGCTAGACAATCTAAAAATTTCCTTAAAAAAAACATCAAAATCGATCTAGCTGTTGTGGAGTCTACGGTAGTCATATTAACAAATAGTATAGACACACAGCTACTGTTGTTATATTTGAAAATATTGTCCAAAGAAGAATATATTTTTTAGGCATTTATTGCTGTTATAAAGTAACGCATGCGGTGAATATGTTCTCCATCGCACTTAAACAGAGTCACTCGCTAGGAGAATTTGAAGTTTTGCAGAAATTTTATTTGAGGGTTCGAGAACTGATTCTCAGAGTGCTGAGTGAGCACAGTCATCTAATTGATATTTATTTATATATATAATTCAATAATATATATATTTCATGTATATATTTATGTATATGTATTTATTTCAGTACGAGTATCTGTATCTATAAATATTATGTATGTTATATATATACATATGTTTAAGCAATATCACTATATCACTACATCTGCCAAGGCTCATCTCTGCACTCCCCTAAGGTAGACTGTCAGAGAATGCCTATGGCATTAAGTCCGCCTTTATACTGTCAAGTACATCTAATATATAAAATTCTCGTGTCACAGTTTTCGTTGCCATACTCCTCCGAAACGGCTTGACCGATTTTGATGAAATTTTTTGTGCTTATCCGGTATCTATGAGAATCGGCCAACATCTATTTTTCATCCCCCTAAATGTTAGGGGTAGTCCACCCCTAAATTTTTTTATTTATTTTTTAGACAAAATTTTTAATTTCTATTTTTTTATGATACAACATACAAAAATACATACAACCCTAAATTTTCACCCCTCTACGATCAACCCTTATTTTTTATTTGCTAATTAAAAACTAAATTTTTTTGCGAGAATTTTGTTTTTATTTTGTCATGACGTAGAATAAAAAAATTCATATAGGGCTGGTGGTCGTGGCGCCGACGACCGCCAGTCCGGCGTCCCGAGGGGGAGGGTGATAGGAGAGATGTGCTCCGCACTAAACGCTTCACTTTCCCCCCTTTGCCTTTTCATGAGTTTTGTCTCATGCGAGGTTTGGACGTTGGTTGTTGAGAGACAGGAGGTTTTAGTCGGTTCGACTCCGACATGCCCCGCCCTCCATCCCCAGTGAAGGGCGGAAGTCCGGCGATTTACTCCTGACAAAACTCTGAAATTTTCACCCCTCTACGATCAACCCCTATTTTTTATTTGTTAATTATAAACTTTAATTTTTTGGCAAGATTTTCATTTTTATTTTGTAATGAATTAAAATAAAAAATCTGATGTTACTCTCAATTTTTCATCCCTCAATGATCAACCCCTATTTTTTATTTGTTAATTATAAACTTTAATTTTTTTGGCAAGTTTTTTATTTTGTTTTGTGTTGACTTAAAATAAAATACATCATATTACTCTCAATTATCACTCTTATACGATCAACCCCTATTTTTCCGATTAATATTTTTTTTATTCTATGCATAGATCCGCAATAAGGTTGCAAGATGGCAATCAAATATTATAATTGTAGTACGATAAATTCTTATTCAGAATTTATAATTTCAAGTTCTTTTAATTATGATTTTTTTTAAATTGAATTTGATCTCCCGCCCTCGCCAGTCGACTACTGATCAACTATCAATCGATCAGCTATCCCCGCCCGGTGTCACCACTCATCCAGCAAACATCACATAGTAGGGATGAGGACGAAGCCGGTCTCCTGTCTTACTTACTCACTATACATCATAGATTATACACTTAAATATTTGAGAACTATACAATACTATACATTTTTCAGCCATGTTTTTTTGGTTTTATTTGTGTATCAATAGTATGTTCAGTGGGTCTGAGAATCGGCTACTATCTATTTTTCATACCCCTAAGTGAAAAGGGTTGTCCACCCCAAACATTTATTTTTTATTTTAATTTTTTGGATATTTTTTTTTTGTTTATATTGAGGTATTATGTGGTTAAATGAGATTTTTTTTTCTACAGTAGAATTTCCCTAGATATCTTATTTAAGGCAACACAACGTTTGCCGGGTCAGCTAGTGTATGTATATAATCGGACTATGCAATTATTTATTTTGTAGTCTGTCGATGATTCGTTTGTGTAAGAGAAAAACTTGGCGACCGCGAAATTCAATCTGAATCTTTATTTTCACTATTTGGTGCTTTATCTGTTTGTATGAACTCACAATGATTTAGCGTTACATTAATTTTAATTTACTATTGGATTTACCACACGCAGCAAAGCAAAACAAAATACTATAAATAAGTTTATTCGACGGAGCCTAGCCTGGCCACTTAGGAATAATCGTTAATGCGGTATTTAACAAGTCTTATTACTTGGACAGTAAGTTAGAGGAGTCTGCGTACCTTCCAGCCCCGGTAGCTGGTCCGCTTGAGCGCGTCGAGGTCCGGCAGGGACAGCACGGGCTGCGGCAGGAACAGTCGGTGCACGAACTCGGCGCCGGGCTGCAGGATATTCGGCGCCGGTCCGATCGGACACAGCAGGGACATCACTATCTTCTCCCTGCGACAGGTACCGTGCAATTATTTTCCTACCTATACTGATAGCCTTGAGGGGCTATATTTCACCTTCTCCTTGACGTGTAAGTGAGCTCTTAAACAAAGAGTGTTGCTAACATTGGTCCTAGCAAGAGCAGTGCTTCGCAGAATCTACCACCCGATCGGAAACAACCCACTGAGAAGATCTGACGAGAAATTCAGTGGGCTGTGTCTATGGGTTAATTTACTCGCCGAGCCCTTCGTCACAAGCGACGGGTTCGACGAGGACGGTGACCGGTGCTTGAGGTACCTAAAAGCACCGTTAATGCATCAGGAGGATCCGAAATGACGTGTTTAGGGCAGACCGTGCAATCAATCTTGTCTTTTTTTTTTATTACTTTGATGTGTGGACGAGCTCACAGCCCACCTGATGTTAAGTGGTTACTGGACCCCATAGACATCTACGATGTAAATGCGCCACCCACCTCGAGATACAAGTTCTAAGGTCTCAGTATAGTTACAACGGCTGCCCCACCCTTCAAACCGAAACGCATTACTGCTTCACGGCAGAAATTGGCGGTGAGGTGGTACCTACCCGCGCGGACTCTCAAGAGGTCCTACCACCTGTAAAAATTCTCTAAAGGCTCTATCGAAACTACTATTTTATATTTGCAGGGTTCTTCTACCTGAACGGATCGATGGGCGGGTTCGTGACCTGCGCGAACAGCTGCTTGAAGTACTCGTAGGGCAGCGGCTGGAAGCGGGACAGGCACGCCAGCGGAGCGTCGTTGCCCATGCTTCCGAGGGCTTCCTTCCTGCCGACATCACCGTTATTATTTAGTAGTTTGTCTTTATTGCATCGACGGGCGATCGTGCTGTGTGTCGCCAGACGCCTTGAGACATGAGGTCTGTCTCATTGTTCAATATAATAGCTGATCTTTGTAAATTATTAAATTGTTAGTTCCGAGTTATTTTCACATCGTAGATGAATGACAATTTTTAACGTACGGAAAACAATTATCACAATCGGTCGAGACATTTTCGAATGATACTCTAACACATACGATGTACAGTCCGCGCGCCAGCTCCGAGGAAGCGGGGGCTGAGGAAGCGGTCGGGCGTGCACCGTGCTCTCCCAGTACTAGTGTCGACCTTAACGTGAGAGTGCGCTTACAGACTCGTTTTTAATTTTATCATAAGCAGTGTTATTTACGTGTGTTTACTACTATAAATAGTACTTTTTTTATTTTTTTATTGCTTAGATGGGTGGACGAGCTCACAGCTCACCTGGTGTTTTTAGTGGTTACTGGAGCTCATAGACATCCACAACGTAAATGCGCCACCCACCTGGAGATATAAGTTCTAAGGTCTCAGGTATAGTTACAACGGCTGCCCCATCCTTCAAACCGAAACGCATAACTGCTTCACGGCAGAAATAGGCAGGGTGGTGGCACCCACCTGCGCGGACTCACAAGAGGTCCTACCACCAGTAATTACGGAAATTATAAATTTGCGGGTTTCATTTTTATTACACGATGTTATTCCTTCACCGTGGAAGTCAATCGTGAACATTTGTTGAGTACGTATTTCATTAGAAAAATTGGTAGCCGCCTGAGATTCGAACACCGGTGCATCGCTCAGAACGAATGCACCGAACGTCTTATCCGTTAGGCCACGACGACTTCAGACGTACTTACACTTATAAGTCTTTTTGTTTGCACGAATAGCTATTTAATTTGATGAAAAAGGAACGGCGAGCACTAGCGTATAAACATGTGTTACTGGCAAAAGGATGGCTTAATAGAGGATGTTGTCGAATCATTTATTATTGAAGTACGTGAGGAGAGTGACAATAGTACATCAAACTCTTCAAATACTGATTAATCTGATTGCTGCAATAATTAATAAGATTTTACGTTTATTTTGTGCAATAAGTATCAATTCATTAAATTAAATTCATACGTGATCAATTGTTTTTTTTTTATTTGAAGTCCTACGTTTATTTTGTGCAATAAGTATCAGTTCATTAAATTTAATTCATACGTGATCAATTGTTTTTTTTTTTAATTTGAAGTACTACGTTTATTTTGTGCAATAAGTATCAGTTCATTAAATTAAATTCATACGTGATCAATTGTTTTTTTTTTTATTTGAAGTCCTACGTTTATTTTGTGCAATAAGTATCAGTTCATTAAATTAAATTCATACGTGATCAATTGTTTTTTTTTTTTTTATTTGAAGTACATACTACCCTCACAGAACTACTTTATAATTTACACTCGCACGGAGACTTCAGATGTGTTAGTATCGATAGCTCAATATCGACTAATTACAACACTAGCTCATTACATCAACATTCCTTAACATTCCTGCAGCTTGCGCGCGGTCTATATGTATGTATACGATAATTAATTCAATATCGTAAAAACTTAGTAATGGTTGTGTAATCGCTAGAACCCAGCCAAACGAATAATATTAAATAGAATAGATGAAAAACTTAGAATTCAGAATAAATTATATATTATTACTGAAATTATTGTTTTTAGAAATCAAGATAAATTATATATTATTACTGAAATTACGGCTTTTTTCCCTCGTTTTATTTAAATTCAATAGAATTTTAAAACCTATTAAGAAAACTCGATTTTTCAAAAAGGAACTCTCGATAGCCAAGACATAAGGTCTAAAGTTTCGTGCACAACTCTCGTCTACGAACTTGTTCTGTATCATGGGAAGCAGCAGCATGTGGATTGACTCGATGGTGTAACCGAAGAGACCGAGTCTTTTGTCAGAAAGGCCCGAAATGGGTCGAGATTCGCCGTTGGAAACCGTAGAACCATTCTCGGCTGGACTCAATGATTTGTATATGTCCTCCATTGTGATCTGCAAAGAAGATTATTTCATTGTTTGACGTTAAGAGGAAGTGGCCTAAAGGACAAGATGATCTGTGCACTCGGGCGATGCGACTGTGCCGGGGTTCAGATCTCTGGTATCTAGTATTTTATTTAACGAATGAAGTACTTAGGAAATGTTCTTTTTCTCTACCTTATCAGACTAGGTGAGGTCGGCACAGCTAATTTTTATCTTCCACTCTCTTCTCGCCTATTTCTGCCGTGAAGCAGTAATGCGTTTCGGTTTGAAGTGTGGGGCAGCCGTTGTAACTATACTGAGACCTTAGAACTTATATCTCAAGGTGAATGGCGGCATTTACGTTGTAGATGTCTATGGGCTCCAGTTACCACTTAACACCAGGTGGGCTATGAGCTCGTCCACACATCTAAGCCATAAAAAAATAATATCAGCCTTCATCTCAACACTCACTCCTCTCTCTCTTTCATACCGTCATTCATACACTCCAACCATGTCTTCTTCGGTCGACCTCTTCCTCCGCTTCCTTGCTACCTTGATGAAGGAATAACATAGTGTAATAAAAATTTGCGTGATAATGGTGGTAGCGTGTATTATAAGCCCGCACGGGTAGTTACAAATATGCTGCCCGTTTTTACCACGAAACAGTCGTGCGTCCGAAGAGTAGGAGAGATGTTATACCAAACTTTGTCATGTCTCTGGACTCCGGTAATTACTAGGACTAGATGGGCCCCGAAAAGTTCTTCAGTGGCGACCGTGTACCGGAAGACGTAAGCGTGGGTAGGCCTATTACAAGATGAACCGACGACCTATTAAGCTTCTTGCAGACTACGTTATAATATAATAACATATAGTATATAGCTCATAGCACAAAAATATCGCGCGCCATAAATTGTTATGGACACGTTCACACTGTACTGTACTATATATTATTGGATAAGTATACGCTGCTATACTATATGGTTCTATATTATAGCGTAGTCTGAAAACAGCTTTAAGGTTCGCGGGGATCCGATCGGTAGCGATCTTTGTGGCGAGGCTTGGGGGAAGTCTATGCAGTCCAGCAGTGGACGTCTGTGGGCTGATAGAATAAATGGGCTGTAAGCTCGATCACCTAATTTAAGCTCGGATCGGCTATCGAGCGTGCCCACACTACGCCCGTTCAGACCACGGAACTAACTTAAAAAACTGCACAATATAAAAGCTAAGCATTCCAGCTACAATACTCAACAAAAAGGTCTTTTTCATACCAATTCTTCTGAATCAAGGTCACACACTAAAAACTTACGAAAAACTACGCACATTTACAAAACAAATTCATTATGTATGATATACATATAAGCCTCAAATCTTCATGCTAGGAGAATTTTAGCTGAACGTATGTTCCCTAGACAGAGACTGGTCACAATCAATGTTATGGGCGACGATTACAAAGTTTTGTGGCTCAAATGCCGATCGACCTCTAACCTGATTTGTAACCACATTTGTAACCACATTCAATTTTCAACTTTAAATACAAGATCGTACACCAGAAATTGTTACAAAACACGTGCTATGTTTTTAGGGACTTTAGGCACTTCGTACTTGCATTACTAATGAAAGAACAATCAACAGGCATTATGATATTTCATATCGTCTTGGTTAGCTTTGTGAGACAAAATTTAGTGAGTTATTAATTCTATTCACAGGTTTTGAAACAGGAAAGATTTCATCACAAACAAACAGACAAAATATAAAAATAATGTTTTGCAGGTCATTAATAACCGCATCTAAAAATCACATCGTCATTTTTGTAAATAATATATGCATGCGTTCAACCATACTTTCACGAGAAAACAAGGCAAAGTGACTCGTGAATAATTACTAAAAGTACTTAGTCATATGAGCATCGATACAAGTTTTAAATGAATATACAAGATTTAAACAAATATTGTGATTTAAGATTTAAATGAATACAATTTTTCTGTTTGTCTTTATTGTCACAAATCAGAATGGTTCTGTGTCGGTATAACTTTCATAATTTCGGCAAACGAAATAATTCGAAGCAGCATGTAGGAAATATAGGAACAGTTTTGTTTCAGAGTATAATAATATATACAATCGGAATGATCTACGAATTCTACAAACACAAACAAAAAATAGTCTATCTACTAGAGCGAAGCCGGGACGTGTCAGCTTGTGTGTTTTAAAGCGATTAAAGCTTGCCACTTCATACAACTAAACTCACCATCTGATTTTATATTTTTATTCCCAACACCGGATGCAATATGCGAAATGAAATACAAAATACACATAGTTTAGTATAAAAAAAGGACAATAGTTATAGTGAAATCCACTAATCACAATGACATATACAGACAGACAGACAGTAAACATATAAGAATATAGATATAGAATAAACACACAATTCGGGCTTAATCTGAAATCTCTAAATTAAACTTACTAAGGTAAAAAAATGCATTTATTAATACTTTGTATTGACATTGACACGAAAAATTAGTAATTGCATTTAATTATACATATCGAGGGGGGAAAGTCAATATTGTCTTGATTACTACTATATATATGTACATACTACACTTACTACAATGTACCCTTTTTTTTCCCTACCTAATCTAGTGACCTCAAATGGTCATGACTAGATTATCCGAGCGAATACGTGAGCTTACGGGGTCTAGCCTGACGACGTTGCTAACACTAGCCCTAGCAAGTGCTTCGCTGAGTCTACCCACTAAATGACCGTATAAAATGAATCACCTTATCTCTCAGCCACTCAGAGTGCGGTCGGCTCCTCGCTATTTCCATCTTCAACTCGACATCTTGAATCATTCTTTTCTGAACCGTGTCCACGAGCAGCATCCGGCCCGGCTTCAGACGACTCTGAGGATCACACAAATCATTATTTTATCATTACAGAACCGACTCAAAAACTTCAAGTACCTATTTTTGTTTTCCTACCTATGCTGATAGCCTTGAGAGGGTATGTCAGTTTCACCCTAACGTGTGTAGGTGAGCTCACGGGGCCCAAACCAGAGTGTTGTTAACACTGACCCTAGCAAGAGCAGTGCTTTGCAGAATCTACCACCGGATCGGAATCGCGACCCACTGAGAAGATCTGGCGAGAAACTCAGTGGGCTGTGTCTGTGGGTTAATTCGCTCGTTGAGCCCTTCGTCGCAAGCGACGGGTTCGATGGGGACGGTGACCGGTGCTTGTGGTACCTAAAAGCACCGTTAATGGATCGGGAGGATCCGTAATGACGTGCTTTGGGCTACGTCGACTGTTTACCATTCGGTCTACAGAATCGGGTAAGTACCTATTGTGTATCATAATTGTACTACAGACGTGTTGTCAGCAAAAACACAATTCAAGATGTGAACGGCTATTTGGTTTAAGCGAAATTTTTGTAACTATTACAGGAGAGCCATTTTATGTTTAAAATTTAGAAAAATATCATACTTAACACAAAGAATTCTTTAGCATTTGAATGGAGTAAACTTAATTGAAATTCAATTTAAAACATAAAACTGTTGATGCTAATACCAAATAAAACGCACCTTTAATTACAAAGATAAATGTCACGTCTTAAGCGACTTCGCGTAAAACGTATTCCTAGTCGTATCGTAAGTCATAGAACGAGAAAGATCATAATCGAACAACTAGCTTAAGATTTGGCTGCGCCCCTGGCATTGTTGATGACCATGGGCGACAGTGACCACTCGCCATCGAGTGGACCGTATAATAATTTTCCTACAAAGGTAATAAAGTAACTGCCACTACATTTGTATAAAAAACCCCAAGATACATTGGACGTGGAAAAAAAAAACAAAATGGCGTATAATTTGTAATGATTCATTACCTTGAGTACGACCTTCTCAGGCTCGACGTCGTACACTCCGACTTCGGAGGCCATGACCAGTATGTTCTCGCTGGTCACGTAGAAACGAGACGGCCGCAGACCGTTCCTGTCCAGTATAGCACCTGGATACGGAAATATCATCTTTAATAACACTTTTCTTATTTTATTGCTTATTGCCCCCGGCCCAAATCTTTATTCGTGAGCATTTATCAAAGACATAATATGTATCTTATTAGAAAAATTGGTACCAGCCTGCGGGATTCGAACACCGGCGCAGACACATCGCTCGATACGAATTTACCCAAAGTCTTATCATTTAGACCACGACGACTACATATCTGTGGGACTTTCTGGCGGGAACGCGAGGAGTGAAGTTGTGTGATTTATTTTATTTTGTCTATTTGGTGTTTCTTCAGGTTTAAATGTGTAATAACGGTGGTTTATTAACTGTTTAATATCTGTGAAAGTGCACAAATGTGGGAAAATGAAACAAAGCCGCTGGACGCAACTTCTCGGGAATCTCCAAAAAGTTCACTGAAAAAATCTCAGTAAATGACCACCATTTTACTAAGATTATATTTCATCCCATATCATCTCATCTCATTTCACTCCATTATATTCATTTTTCATAAAAATAAGAATATAAATTAAATAAGAAATGGCTTAAAAGTCTTAGTTACCGGGTCATTAAATCCCTTAAAAAAACATATATGTGGCTTCGTTTGTTTGTTCGTGTTATATTTGCAATTCGATCGGGGAATGTTCAATGTACAAGAAGACGACAATTAGGCTCGGTACGAGCAGTAAGACTCACAGGCCTCTACAGTACCGAGTAGATAATAGTTTCTGAGTCTCAATTATCTACATATTAATACGTGAAGCAAAAACTTTTATGTTATTTGTTAATAGTGTAGCCTTGGCGAAATCTGTGATTATAGAAGTATAGTAGTTGACAATAGAACCATAATAATGTTTAAACTTATGATTTCAATTCTAGACGAATTTCGACTTTTTAAATATATATTTTTAATGATTCAGAGATTACTGGTGGCCTGGAGGCCTTTCCAGTTTTACCAGGGCAGGTGGTCGAGCCAGTTCAGCTCAGGAGGAGTGGAACTTTCTAACAGCTACTCGAGCGCCTCCAAAGGCGACCTAACGACTCAAGAGCAGCTGCTTCGCGAATGAATCTACTACCGGATCGAAATCGCGACCCGCTGTTAAGATCCGGCGAGAAATTTAGCGAGCTGATGCTTAGGTTAAGTTGCACGTCGCACTTTTTGCCGAGTTCGACGAGTACGGGGTCCCTACTCCTAGGGTTATTGGATCTGATGGATCCGTAAGGACGTATCTAGTGCGACGACGGTGACTGGCTCCTGCGTGATCAGGATTCGGGGAGTAGTCAGCGCCGGCAACGAATTTCGAGTACTGGGGCTCCACTAGTATTTTTTAAGAGAGGTCCCACCTCTCATGTCGAAACACAAAAATAAGCTGTAAACTTAATATCTATAAAGTCCATATGGTAGGGGTCGTGGACACGTACCGATGTACCGGCCGTCCGTGAAGGAGACCAGGGCGGGTCCGTCCCACGGCTCCATGGCGGAGGAGGCCCACTGGTAGTAGTCGCGCTTGTCGGGGTGCATGGTGTGGTCGTTCTGCCACGCTTCGGGCACCATGGTCATCACCGCCTCGGGCAGCGACCTGCCGCCCGCCTGCGCCAGGAACTCCAGCACGCAGTCCGCCGACCCAGAGTCCGACAGGTTGGGCTCCACCACTGGATATAGCTTCTTCAAGTCTGCGGGCCAGTTGTTCCATTTTCTCAACAAATTACAATTGAAATTAGAGATGAAACGGATAGTGGTTTGGCCGAATAGTGGATACCGAATATTCGGCAAGTTACAGAGCCGGAGCGCCGGATATTCGGGCCTCTCGGAAATATTCGTGCGCGTTCGTGTGTTGTCGCACGTGAGTGGAGATCGCGACGACTCGGTACGACGACGATTTGGTATTCATTCACCACAATTTGCCACTTGTCTATACTAATATTATAAAGAGGAAAGATTTGTTTGTTTGTTTGTTTCGAATAGGCTCCGAAACTACTGGACCGATTTGAAAAATTCTTTTTCCATTAGAAGCCGATTTGTTTTTTTGGTTTCATGTGTGTTTTAATGTTTCCGAAGCGAAGCGAGGGCGGGTCGCTAGTTAATTAATAAAACAATCACTTTTGTCGTGCGATTATACAAATAAAAGTTGTCCATAACCTATTGTGGTATTATTTGCCTTTTGTATAACTATGAGATTTTCTTAAATTGTACTATCCGAAATCCGGCCGGATACCTGATAGTTACCGGATATTCGTTTCTTCTCTAATTGAAATAATATTTATTCGAGGTTTTCGTTCCTAAATCAGCTTAATAGTTAGTACACGTGAACTAAAGCGCTTCGTTGCGAAACGTAAAAGTATATTTACCGTCTCCAAATATGTCGCTCTTCATCACACCCTCGCGAGCTTTCATCAGATTGACGTTACCTCGTAACGTATTTATTTCTCCATTGTGGGCGAGAACCCTGAAATTTGATTATACATTATAACTAATTCAATTAACATTTATTATTATCACATTCTTTTAATAAACTGGTGGTAAATAAACTTTTACTGGTGGTAGGACCTCTTGTGAGTCCGCGCGGGTAGGTACCACCACCCTGCCTATTTTCCGCCGTGAAGCATTAATGCATTTCGGTTTGAAGGGTGGGGCAGCCGTTGTTACTATACTTGAGACCTTAGAACTTATATCTCAAGGTGGGTGGCGCATTTACGACGTAGATGTCTATGGGCTCCAGTAACCACTTAATACCAGGTGGGCTGTGAGCTCGTCCACCCTTCTAAGCAATAAAAATATATTTGAAAACATACGACTATATACACTTACGTACCTCAATGGGTGTGCTCTTTCCCAGCTCGGAAACGTATTCGTTGAGAATCTTGTGTGGACAAGCGCCAAATACGTTGTGAACGCTGGATTGCTCAGATCCTTGAAGTACTCCTAAAGAAAACCCCATTAATTAGAACAACATTCATTTTAGTGAACAGTAATCTCTGTCGTTATTTCTTACCCATAGCTGATTAGAAGTTAGAAGTCCTTTGTACACGATAGTCCTGAGCGACAGGCTGCATATATAGAACCTGGCGCCCGGCACCACCAGCTCGTGGCTTGCGCGTTTACGGAGCACGAATATCTGAAAACACATTAACACCTCCACAACGTGCCGACGCGTACAAACACCAATATCTAAGGGATCGTTTTATTATATAATATGGACTGTTTAATTTACGTTCACGAAGATGCGGGCCCAAGGTCCGGCCGGCCGTCGCTCGACGCGCGATCTGAAAAAACACCTACAAGAGTTCTCTGCCCCCCTAACGAAGCGACGAGTTTGAATCCGCAATGGACGCGTTCGATTGCGGGTTCATACCCGTATTGAGCCCAATGTGCGGTTGGTCGCTCGCCGTGATCTCACCTGCCGCGACAGCTGGGTCTCGTCCTCGATATCGCCGGTAACAAACACTTGACGCATATACGGCTCCGAGTTACGAGCCACCTGACCTGAAAGCCAGCCAAAACAGGCTATTACTAACTTCACAGGGGCAACGGAAACATTATGGGCGCAAAAGACTAGTCATGAGTTTCAAAGTACTTATCTACAAGAACGCGTGTACGTTTTATGTTGTTATATAAGCTGAGCGGTTTAAGTAACGTTAAGTTTCGTAAATGCACTTTTAAACATCAATCGCTAGCCAATAGAACAACATAACAAAAGCTGAATCTTTCGTTATTTTCTTTTTAAATATTCGACTTGACACACAACATTTCCATTATAATAATATTCTAGAGAATGTATTTTTCTAATTTGTATAGTGGGTAAAATTGTAGCGTATCAAATCGTCGTCAAAAAATTTTCCTTTAATTTTGAAAGAAACCTCACACTTATATATCTATCTAAAACATTCTTCAACATAAACTATATGAGACAGCAGTATTTTACAAGAACAACCCAATTTTTACATTTATAAATCAGCATTATTATAATTGAATTGTTTAAATGATACGACACGTAAAGCTCAGCGTTATTTATTACAATAATAAATTAACAAAATTGGGTGATGTATGTAAAATGGCTGGTAATGGTAAATGGAACAAACCATATGGTCAATCATGGCATGACCTCGCATCGGTGAGATATAACCCCACAGATTCTACTACGTGACCGACCTGTAAACGTAACGACACATATCGCAACACACTGCCCGAATTGTGAATAGCACACACGTGTAAAAACCATACGGACTCTATTGACAAAATTAAAAAAAAAAAACTTTCATACGTTTTGAAATTGAAACTCAAAGAGTTTATAGAAAATAACAACGTTTTATGGACCAATCTTGAAGGAATTGACAACAAAATGAATTGTTTCTAAATTCCGTATACGATTTAAAACTTGATCAATACATTTTTTTTAACAAATTGAAACTTTTACTTACCGATGCTGCTGTTTTTTGTAGGAACGGTACGCCAGCACAGCACCTTAAGACCAAGACTCTCGGCTAGTACTAGAAACTTGGCTTCTATGTCCTGGTGATGCAGTTTGTCTAAGAAGAAGATCCCGGTCGCATATCGCCCGAAGGGGGGCAAATCGATCTGGTGACTGTCTCTGTTGAGCAACAAGAAGTTTTTATTTTAATTGACTTTATTTTATTATCTCAATCCTCAATCACTTCGTTATTTTATAAGTTAATGTTCTCGGAAAATGCTTATTTTTTACAAAGTTCGAGGAAAGCCATGAATATTTAAAGATAGGATGGATAAACGAGCTACAATAAATTATGATGAAAACAAATTTTATGAATTTGTCTCAATAGGAAAAATTATTAAATTTTTAAAATACAGTGCGCTCCTACTCTATGTTCTCTAAAAGCGTGGCAAATTTCATACATCTCCGTCCGCGCAATCTTCGTAAAAAGGGGTACCAAATTTTTGCTTCACGTATTAATATATAGATTAAAACAGCTTAACAATCTCTGTATTTTGTATCATGAATTTAAGAACGATAGAGTCAATAACAGCTAATGGAAGAACCTCTTTGAAGGATCAAAAGATAACTAATGTTTTTTTCGTGTTACAGAAAATAAGAAATAACAATCCGAAGATCGTGGTGTAAATGATAAATGGCCCAAAGGATAAAACAATATATTCATATCGAGCGATGCCTNTGTGTGTGTGTGTGTATGTGTGTGTGTGTGTGTGTGTGTCAAATACACGGCAGAGTGTTTTTATTATAGATTTAACAATCTGCGCTCCTACTCTATGTTCTCTATAAGCGTGGCAAACATACACCTCCGTCCGCGCAATCTTCGTAAAAAGGGGTACAAAATTTTTGCTTCACGTATTAATATATAGATTAAAACAGCTTAACAATCTCTGTATTTTGTATCATGAATTTAAGAACGATAGAGTCAATAACAGCTAATGGAAGAACCTCTTTGAAGGATCAAAAGATAACTAATGTTTTTTTCGTGTTACAGAAAATAAGAAATAACAATCCGAAGATCGTGGTGTAAATGATAAATGGCCCAAAGGATAAAACAATATATTCATATCGAGCGATGCCTACCAGACAGGTACTAATTTTTCTTTGGAAAAATAATCATAAAATGACACCTGTTATTCATTGTGCACTTATTGGTGGTAGGGCATAATGTCAAAGGTGGCGCAATTCACGTTAAGCTGTCCTAGAGGCTCGGGCAAACAATACTGGATCGTGAAGTCGTTCGACCATTTAATGTAATAAAACAGAGAAATTAGATGAAAATTTTAGTTTCAGTGTATATCTGCAAGTCAGATTGTCACCAAGTTCATTTAGTTAATTTCCACTTTTATTCAATTTATCATTCAACTTATTGCAGTACATAAAAATAATCTTTGATCATTATACTGCATTGAATGCCAAGGAAGACCAATTTTCCAAATTACGTAATGCAATAATGTTTTATATGGGACTGTAAACTTATTATTACGGATAATTTAGTGCACATATAAGGTAGCTGTTGTCCGATAAATAAATAATTAGCTTCAACAATGACACAGGTTTATAGAATATTATAACACGATGTTGTGTAATAGTCTTTTATGGACTTACAATGAAGATATTTGATATTTTACATCAACCGATACGACTAGTATAGTAACCGGCAAACTTCGTGAGCAAATGACCTTGACTGCGCAGAACCGTATTTTAGATCACTTTGGTGGTGAGGGTGAGGCGCGACGGCAGGGGAAATCGTATCGAGCGCGTTATTGGTAGAATCTGGTAGATCAGTCGAACCTTTCGTCCCGCACCGCGCCTTCGTTCCGCTTGCTCCCAAAAGTACGCTTGCGTACAGTGAAAAGTCAATTAATATTAATCGTTGAAGTTATTTGTTATAATTATTATTGTTTGTTGATTTTGTTGTTATTGCTATTTGTTGAGTGTTTCTTGGTTTTTTATAAAAAATATACTATGCCACGTCAAACTGGTGTAGTATTAAAAAGACAAGCTAGAAAAATGGTGTACGACGTATATTGCTTTCTTAAAAAGCAGGGAAATAATGATNTTGACCTAATGGAAGGAATATCTATTTTACCCCTAGATTAAATTACTACAATTATTAACCTGTATTTTTTGTTCATGTACTAATAAATATATAAATAAATACATATGTTGTTTTTAATAACTTAATAACATTTTTGTACGTAATTGTACGATGCGCGAACTTACCCCCACTACGTCAACTAATGCTCAAGAAGTTTGCCGAGTATTATAGCTAGTATGTCTAGTTAAACTTTTGATAATTCTAAGTAATGCCTTACGTTCCCGAAGTAAGGTACTATATGAACTGGATTCAAATGTTCTACAATTTAATAAGTACTAGTGCCACAACGCAGTTTTAGCAGAATAAATCGAAACCAATCAGTCCAGTACTTTTTTCTTCTTTGTTTCTCAACTGATTTGATTTGATATATTTAGTAGCTATTCACGAGCTTTGGCGTCATCAACAAAGAACTTTATTTTTTTATCTTAACAGGAAAAAGTAAACAAGAGAGAAAAGCCATTGCAATATATAAATAAATTAATTTCAAGTATGACTGACTATAGTCATTTTTATTACGACCATTGAATGAAAAATTTAACAGTTTAATTTAGTTATTTTAAATTTAAAATATTTTTTGGATTCCGTGTTTAAATAAAATACGTATTTACATAAAATGTTTTTTTTTTGTTTTGAAAATGTCATATAACTGTTCTCCGCACTTCAATAAAAAATAAGGCGACTGATCATACAAAATATAAAAAGATATAATAAACATTTAACAAAAACGGTACATTATTACTTATGACCAAATATTTAAATTCACATTAGACTACTAATGAAATTGAGCATCAACTGTTGATGATCGCCATAGTAATCCTATCAGTATGCGATCTTCTTTTTCTCCCCCTTATCCCACTAGGTGGGGTCGGCACAGCTAATTTTTCTTTTCTATCAGCCGTCATTTCAGCACAGAGAGGAGTGATTCTCTCTCATATCATCATTCACACACTCCATCAATGTCTTCTTTGGTGGACCTCTTCCCTCTCTACCTTGCACTACCATTTTCATACATCTCCTAGTCACATGCATCTTCTCTCTACGCATCACATGTCCATACCACGCTAACCGCTATCAATATGCGATAGTTTCACAAAAATCCGAAATTACAACTATCCCAATCGAAGGTAATAGCAGGCACCGTCTTTACGTAATCTTTAAAAGGTAATTAGTTATTTCTGAAAGGTCACTTTCACGACAATATCATCGTTATCGTGTCGTCTATTGTAAACATACACTGAGCACGTAACTATCACGAAGTTTGAACATGATACATACTGATAAATACACTATAATATGTATACTAGGTCAACGTCATAGCGAACGATCTAAAGTCTTACTTGTTATTTTATTTCTGTAATAATGATTTTTAGAGGTTATTTATACAGATAAATACATATACAGATACTATTATTATTTGTGTTGTACAAGTGTATTTATATTATAAGTGTATAAGTTGTATTTATTACATAAATATACTAATATTATTATTTGATTATTTGTGGTTACTAACAAATAGTAAATAGAGCATATGCCTCCAAAGGATACATTTTTATTTTTTTATAGGGCTGTTATCCTATTACAGTACGTAAATAATTTATAACTTATTTTAAATATTATTACGATGTTTCTGGGTTCTAATCTGTTCAACTACATTAAAATCAATTAATAGATTTCAAGACATATTTCAGACCCTAAATCGTACAAAGACGTAAATCGAATTGGACCAAATATGACTAAATTCGTCTAATTGATTTATTAAATAGAAACAGTATAACTTATATAGGGCCAAACACATTACGTTTTGTCTTTTGCGATTTGCCTTACGATTGATTGATCACTAACAAAAATTATCGTAAGCATTATCATTTGAAATTTAAACTTGGGATAATCTAAACATGTTTTACAGATTTCACCCTAAAAATTTCCCTTCAATCAAAACTACTGTAGAGTAATAAGAATGTGTGTCATAAATTTACAATGTGTAAAGGTCAAACGAGTACGCGGAGTCTGCGCGCGCATCTGTTACGTCACGAATCCAACGCGAGATATTGACCGAAATGAGCCCTGTCTGAAAACCTACAACACCGTTTCCAACTAAACACACAGACACTGTGTCGATAAATTTTCCATTCGTAGTGCTTGAAAAACATTTTCATTGAAAAAAATATCATTCTTCTGAACATTAATTTATCCGTTGATATGATTTTGGCGAATATATGGAATATATGGTATGGACGAGCTTATAGCCCACCTGACGGTGAGTGGTTACCATCGCTTATGGACGTCAGAAATGCCAGGGGCAGAGCGAAGCACTGCCTACAGTTTAATTCTCTCCACAAACCTCGTTTGAAGTTTGAGGAATGTTTTTTTTTTGCTTAGATGGGTGGACGAGCTCACAGCCCACCTGGTGTTAAGCCCATAGACATCTACAACGTAAATGCGCCACCCACCTTGAGATATAAGTTTTAAGATCTCAGTATAGTTAAAACGGCTGCTTCACGGTAGAAATAGGTAAGGCGGTCGTACCTACTCGCGCGGACTCACAAGAGGTCCTACCACCAGTAAAAATGTATGCTCCTGGCGATTTTAAAGCAAGCTTTGTTCTGAAGTCACCTTTTCATTAAGAAGATGGATGTTTCTTGCATTTATAAGCAGAAAAAGGCGTTACTACCAACACGTTCTGCAACCGATTCTCAAGATATTATTATGAAATACAGGGAAAGAACAGATAGGAAGAAATTAAGGCGAGGGAGAACGGAGAAGTAATAATAGTGGTAAACTGAGTTGATTCGCATACCTACGCGTCCCATCTAGGTAATCCAATAACGGAAATTATCTTATTAGGTTCTCTCACTTCGAATATCGGGACGGCGTCTGCAAAGGGTGGAATTGGCACTGTGTCTTCTGAGATAGCTAGAGGAAAAGCGCTCAACAATGACTAATAGATAGTCTAGACTAGGGATTATCCTAATAAGATTATTCTTAAGTGCTGCTTAAGTGCTCTAAAACATCGAACGTTTAA